ATAAATAGAATCCCCTGCCGCCCCCCACCACCTCCCCCCCCCTTCAGCAGAAGATAATAAAAAGTCCCTAAAAAGGGATTACGCCGGTGTTCCATAACGTGACTTCTAATTTCTCCTTTTCAACTCTATGAAAAGGAGCGAGGGTAATCTAGCTTGCTATATAATTTTTTTTGTTGATATCTCTTGCTATCCTTCTCAGACATTGTCAACACTGACACTCATTTTTGTTTGTCTTCCGTGAAAAAAGGTCAGAGAAGAACTTTCAAGAGAAACAGGTCTCAGCGTTCGAGTTGTGCAAGTCTGGTTTCAAAATCAGAGAGCAAAGGTAACTGTATATGTAGCATGAGAGCCTGTTTGTGCTTGACAGCCATGAGAGCCTGTTTGTGCTTGTTTGGGCCTGAGGTTGTCCTATCTTGAAATTGTTTACTGTCTAGCTAAGTACTTAAAACCTCACATCTCATTCATGGAATCAGAATATGAATTTACATCACGCTGATTAACTAACCTTACGCTTTCCATGGGTTGTTTTCTTTGACGGCCATCTTTTAACGGTTCAGCGTTAGAGGTCTGGAACGAGTTGTGTAAAGGGTTAAGGGATTAAAATTTTCGTAAGTCATTCGGCCAAGCTCGGTAAATTGATGATACCTTCCGATAGTCTTTCCGTTCCCTACCCACGACAGTTTTAAAAATCACCATCCATAGTGAAACTATATAAAGATATGTCTGCCACAGCTCCCTGTAGCCGAGACGACGTATGGCTGTCTTGGAATGCATTCTTCTCCTTGCCACTCTCAGGATACACACGATCCCCTATGAAACATGGATATGAGGGCATTAAACATAACTCAATATTTATGTTTATGTTGCTTGGTTAGAAAAGTATGAAATAAGTGTCTAGTTCTCTTAATAACCGCTGTTTCTGTCCATCAATGTGTCAAATTGTTATTTGATGAGGGACAGAGACGCTCATTTCTAGTCTGGACGGTACTGGTTTTTTCAGAACTGCGTTTGTTTTTCAAAATTCTCCAACAGGTATTTTGTTTCGTCACAATGTTGTGGGGAGAGCAATTAATTGTCTTTCTTTTGATTTATTGATGAACAGATTAAAAAACTGGCCAGAAGAAACAATCCGGAGTCTGATGGCGCAGCTAGCTGTAGAGTTAGTAATCGACAAAGAAGTCTTAAAAAAAGTAAAGACGGGAAATGTAAGTGTCTTCTGGCCCACGATCAAAAGTTAATCTTATATATGCTTGATAGATCTCTTCAAAATGAAGATAATCAAAACGAATTGATTGTGATTAGTGTTGGTAGGAATTTCAGTATATTTTGAAGGTTTTTTTTTTCGTTCCCCTCTTCCTCAGTAACTACTCTTCTATGATTAGAAATTCAATGTTTTCTGAAAGAGTAAGATTGTTTCCATTGCGTTTCCCAAGAGATTATAAACTGTTTATAATCTCTTGGCTTCCTCAAAATTGAAAATTGTCCTACTAGTTATGTTATTTGGTCTTGACGTCTCAAAATGTGAGACCTGTCCTAACATGAGGTTCACCTGTCACCTGCAACTGCTCCACCCCAACAAAAACTCCGTCAGAGATCATCATATTCACTTCATAACTTAACCTTCACCTATCTTTTGTTTAGCGTCAAGTCCAAGAGATAAAAGGCGAACTGATAGAGACAGTCTAGATCTTCCTCCATCACTCTCCCCTCCCCCACAACTTCCGGGATCCCAACCCCCTCCCTACGGAATGCTTCCCCCTCAATACCAACATTTGCAAAATCATATGGGACCAATGATGGCACCACCGCAGTTCCAACCGCCGTACCAAGGACCGCTTAACCATATGGACTCTGGGGAAATTCCCATGGACCACGGAATGCAAGCTATCGATGAATGTATGATGCGGCCGCAACAGTTTAACCCCGGGGATATGGGCGGATACCCCACCGCTACAAATCACAATGGTCAGAATCACTTAGAACTTATGCATGATATGATTAATTCATTCTAATTTATTACAATATTAGAAGTATATTGTATCGTAATTATTGACTGCGCCTCTTTGCTAGTAACTTTTTAAAATACTTTCAATATTGCTGTTAGTTTGGAATGTACAATTTGTTAAGTTTTATTGGTATTCATTCATCGTTGTTACTAATTATCATGACACTACTTGAAAACATTTTCGAACAAATAGGTTATCTTTTCGGAAACGTTTTCCCTTTTTCTCTGCCTTTCTTTGAGAGAAAAATTTCTTTTTAAACCCGTAATTTAACTTGTCGAGTCATGATCAAGAAAACGATCAAATAGTTATCACAGTTTTAAAAAAACATTTAGGGAAATTTTACGAGTTATTGTTCCGTAAGTTAATGGAAAAAAGCTGCTAGGCTTAGAAGTCGTCACACCCTATATCGCTAGTCACCACTCCCTCTCTCGCAACGTCTTGCTGATTAGAAGAATAGGTCTCTTTTGAGAAAACTTTAAAGGAGTAAGTATCCTAGGAACTTGTGAATACTGTCCTTAACTATGAAGTGTTTAACGGACAAATCATAAATCTTTTTCATCAGAAAATCGTGAGTTAGGTGTAAACGCTTCTATGCCTGTGATTTATGGAGACTGCAAACACTTTGTGATTGCAACAATCACCTTTTGCGTGCAGATGTCGTATTATACTTGAGGAAAATAAAAAAAAAAAAAAAAACTGAAATGTTTGCTCATGAAAATGAATTGTTTTGGAAATTCCTTTTGTTTAAGAAAATACTGAGACCCTTTTGGTAACTTATTTGTCAAATATTATATACCACTAACTTTTAGCCAAGTAACTGATGGAAATGGAAACTTGAATGGATTATTGAAATTCAGGTCATGTACGTTAAATCAATATCCTCTGGATGGAAATAACCAATTCATAGCTAACTGAGCTAGTTACAACCCTTTCTGACTATAACAAACTGCTTTGAGACATGTTAAGAGATCTTAACTATCAGTTAAGAAGGATTAAATTTAATCATGCTCTGATGGAGCTTTTTTTTTTTCACATAGTCTAAATATTCTTTCAAATTGAGCCTCGTTCTCGCTCTATAGATTCAAAATTTCTCATTTTCTTTGCTCATATGAAACAGAGGTCTGCTCAAGAACACTAGCCTAATATCCGAAATTGTTTTGTTACAGATTCTGACGATGGTGCTTCACATTGGTTCAACGCATATTTATAGCAGTTGCAGACCTTTGCGTCAGTTTGAATAGTCTTTAAATCTTCCACCCTTAAACTCGCCAATTTTCCTTTTAGACAATGCTATGGATTTCCTCAAAAATCAGTTATGAGATTTATATATAAGTAACCCAATAACTGTTGATGGTTTCTTCTCTCTGATCTACTTAATTTTTGACAAAGTATAAAATTTACAATGAAGGGTCTGATTTTGCTAACTTTTGAGAAAAAAAAGACGAAAGCGCTGTTTAGTTTTCCACGACTCATAAAGTGGTATAAATAGTAATTAAGAAATCTTTTGTCTTTATCTGAGCAAAGTTGCTACGAGTGTAATAGTCAAGCAAATCAAAACTTAGTTCCCAAGACTGGAAATTCATTTCGCCTTAAATCTATCGTACATTCCTTCATTAGTTATCCCTAAGATTTTCAAATTTTATCATATAATTACCTCCACGTCGAGAGAATATCAAATTCAAGCTGATTAGTATGAAATTGTCCTCACTTGTAAGGCAAACATAGCGAGGAGAACTTCGATTGTTTATCGGCAATCTTGGGAGTTAAAGTTTTATCGTAGGAAGCCTAGAATCACTAAAGTATTAATCGACTTATTTATTAACGTCGCATTCGCAAAGACTCCTTATGACTTGGGGGGAAGAGGCAAGGAAGGGAAGAGGAGGGTATCCCAAGACTTAAGCGACACGCGAGTTCGTGTTAAATTAAAGAGAGTTGGTGTTGTATTCAGGATGTCTTTCATTCTCATAATTTAAACAGTATTGACTTCTTGTTGTATAATAAAAAAATATAGTAAGATGTAAATAATGTCTAAATAGGCAACAAGTGAGCCTTAATTTCTTGTGCTCAGTAACTTGTACAGAATATTCAGATTAAGAAAATAAAACAGATCTAATAAATGTTTACTTGTCATTATTAAAAAATCTTAACAGGATTCCTATCTCGAGATGAACACCTCCCGGTTAGCTCAATGGATAGAGCGCTGGACTGTTGTGCGGGAGGTCGAGGGTTCGAGCCCCGGCCGGACCAACACTCAACGTCTTAAAATAATTGAGAATATGCTGCCTTTCTATAACATCAAGAAATGGTTAGATATTCTAGTCTTCTCGGATAGGGACGAATAAATGGAGGTCCCGTCTCCTGCAGGGTTGGGGTAGGAGACGTTAATTTCCCACACACGAGATTACTGTGTGATGAATGTCCTCCCCTGGGGTGGGATTGGTGGGATATAGGGCGCACTTAATTTGGAGCCTCGCTCTGTTGTGCGACCCTCACCACACTCTGGTGAAAGTGATTAAATAAACACAACTTTTTCTCAGTTTGAGTAGGTGTCCCAGACGCTTTAGCAATCCTGTTCAAGCTGAGGTTTAAAGAACCATAGAGGTGTACTCATAATATGCGAAAGTGTACTTGAAATGAAGGACCTCACACGTGTTTAGCCGTGGAAGGTCTGGGTACGAAATTAGTGTACTCTACTAAGAACTCAAGTTTAAAAACAAGCAAACCCTCGATGGCGTAGCTAAAATGTGCATGTTCACTTTTTGATAAGTTTGATTCTAGTTTCGCGTCTGAGTTTTTAGAGGTGCCGCGAGTTTTCGGTGTTTGGGTGGAGCTTTAGTGTCGAAAGACCCTCTTGTTTCGTACTTTTAGAGATTGGGGCAGAGGATTGACGGATTTTCTTTTAGCTTCAATATCACAACTCCGACGAATACTTTCGCTGGCGTGTGAGATGGTACAGTAGGTGACTAGAAATGTGTCGGCTCAAACTGGAGAATTTCAGATGTTATGAAATTTCCAACTCCAAATATTGGATTTCTAGTGTTCTGATTGGTTCACTCAACTCCGGTTATCAGCTGATATTCCGAGTCATCTTATATGGAAATGCATTGTACCAACCGTTGCAGAGCTGAAAAAAAAAACTCGAATATCCAAACGCTCAGGATTTAATGAAATTTAATAAAGCAATTATTCCAGTCGTTATTGGTTGTTGCCGACTCAATGCTACACGCCTTGTTGGCTATTTATTATCTCATACCCAATGTGGGCTAAAGGAATAATTATTAAATATTCCATTGAAGATCCTCTTCAGTTTTCAAATCTTGCTTCGAAAGTGATGAAAGTCATCCTCCAAAGTTGATTTGAGTTCTTAACTGTTCTTATAGAAGAAGGGACAAACTTGTTTACCCATTAATTCGCTCTGAGAATTTAACAGTTTTCCATATTAGCCAAGACACCCGCTGGTTGGAAGTCATTGGAGAGTCTGAGATTTCTCGAAGGCGACTCCTGGAAAAACTTTGTTTAGAAATGACCATTCGCTTTTCGTAAGATTTCACCAGTTGCTCGGTGTATCCATCGTTTCTGATAGTGTAAGATCTAGCTTCCCTTCAGCATATCATGCAGAGTTGATTCTAAAGTCGAAACTGAGACCTCAGACCTCTAAATAGCTGTCGCGGTTGCTGTTCCAATAGTACACCAAATCTGCTGATTTCCTCCGTGGCTGTTCTGCCTAGGGGGGCAAGAACTGTACAAACTTTTAAAACGCACGTGCAGCGTTGATTTGTTTTTACTCTTTACATTAAATTTTTTGTTTTGCAACGTTCTTGTTCGGCATCGCCCTCTTGAAGCCCCTAATTATTAGAGTGCCCTGTGGATCATTCGCGTCCTCCAGGTTACTCAACTCAAGATATGCCATCCAGCTCCCCAATTTGCTTTCTATCACTCACGAAAAAGATGATGCGTTCGAGGACGAAGTTAAGAAAGCGGGTTCAAAAGGTGAATCGAGTCCCACCTCACCCCCTGCCTCAGTTGGCAAAAAAAAATTAACACCTTATGGTTTTGACCAAATTTGGAACACAACGAAATGTCAAAAGGAGGCCAAAAACCCAACCTGCGGCCACGAATAATGTTTTCTCTTTCTTTTAACTCGTAAATGTTCAAGGAAACCATGAAAAGAGAAGACAATATTTGAATCAAATACTTTCAAAAAGAGATTGGAACCGTGGACGTTAATTGTAAACACATGTAACAGCCGAATACCTAATCACCTTGCATTCTATCACAACAAAGTTGTTTATTCTTTATTTTTGAACAACCAATCACGTCCGGTAAAGGAATATTGACGCTTTGAATGAAAAGTTCTTTGTCCTTACGTTTGTCAGTCGAAGTATTCAAACGCGCAGTTCGTCGAAAGTTGCACACGTTATTTATATTGAAATGTTCGTTAAATAAATGTCCGTCCATAAGGATGTTTCATGTGCGACATCAGTAGCTGGACGGTTGCTTCTGTAAACTCCTGTAACTGCGGGCGATGGAGCGATTAAAAAACAAAAAAACACAAACAAACAAAAAACAAAAATTAAAATCCACATCTACTGCATCCTGAGTTTGACTAATGGTCGTGGGTCGTGGGTCGTGGGTACAAGTCGTGGGTATGGGTGTGGGTGTGGGTGTGGGTGTGGGTAAAAGTCGTGGGTGTGGTTAATACTAATAATAAAAATAATCATTTAAAATATTAAATATAATAATACATAAATTTTATACAACCTTGTCATTCATTGATTTAACTGTTCTTTCTTCTAGTTATTTTATTTTGTTTATTCAATTTACCCTACTTTACGTCTATTTTTATCTGTTATCTCACTGTCAATGAAATTAGTTTCAGTTTCGCGACGGGAAGAGAGATAAATCTTGTAATTATACACGGTGTACAGGTTTTTCGAGCTGTGCGGTCTGCAGTCTGCGTTCTGCTTTTTCGAGGTCTGTGTTAACGAGACACCTGAGTTGCTTTGTACGATTGTACCAAAAATGATTTCATATTTTGGCCCAAAAATGGAAAACATGCTCGAGAACCAAACGTATCAAAGAGAGGTTTTTATTCTTATTTCATTGCTGTTCATTACTTGATTTATCTCTCTTCCCTTTGTTATCAAACGAGATCTCGGAATGCGTCGCGAAACTGAAACTAATTTCATTGACAGTGAGATAACAGATAAAAATAGACGTTAAGTAGGGTAAATTGAATAAACAAAATAGAATAACTGGAAGAGAAAACAGTTAAATTAATGAATGACAGGGTTGTATAAAATTTATGTATTATTATATTTAATATTTAAATGGTTACTTTTATTATTAAGTATTAACCACACCCACGACTTTTACCCACACCCACACCCACGACTTGTACCCACAACCCAGGACCATTAGTCAAACTCCTGCATCCTGGATTAAAGTTGAGTAATGAGACCACGACAGATGTATTCCTCTTAACCACTGATTGCTCGTTCGACATTCCCACCGACTTCGTCCAGACTTAAAATGTCTACTTCGCCGAGTGATCGAATAAGTGAACGTATGAGCTTTATCTATGTCATCTTATTGAAAGAGAAAAACACATTTTAGACATTCAGGAGGATTGAGAAGTCGTGAAAAACTAACGACTGAAAGCAAGACAAATACAAATTCCATAAAGGAAATTCACTCGTTAAAATTAGCTTTAATGGAAGAAGTGTACATCAAATATCAATTTTAACATTAACATGATTAAATCTCAAAGGGCTGAAGAGGAATAACGATTGGCGATATAGTGAGACCCTAGCAATGACCCGGAAGTAGAAGAATGGAGAAATAACCAGCCTTCTTCGCCCGAATGGTACTCACGCATATCTCATCATAAACAAATTATTTCCTTTGATGAATGTTGCAGTTTTCATTAAAGGATGTGAAAGAAACCCAAAAGATAGCACCATTATTCCTCTTCAACCATCAAATATCAATAGGCATTTATATTTCTTTGTTATTGCCGTGCAACCAAGAAAGTTGCTTACTTCCAAGATAGCTACACAATTCTCTTCCTTGGTACATAATTATATGGTAAGTTGCGAGGCAATCAACTAAACCAAATACAAGTGAGAGCAACTTTCGTCAATACTGTTAATAGCACCGAGGAAATCTCTTTTGAACTCTCACCTCCTTAATTAACACCAATCATTACGTAGTTAGAATTGTTCGAATATTGGTAAATTGTATTCACAACGAATTTTAAAGGTTGCGCAATCCATCTGTAACCGCTTTGTACCATCCGGCTCTTGACAGATTCCTTTTTCACTTTTTGCCATTGTGGAGCAGTAAAGTAAATGAATCTTAACAAATGATCGTATTTGAAACGTTATGCATCCCAAACGAACCCCAGATGTGTGGAGGTTTCCAGATAAGTTAACTGCAATTGTGTTGAATGGTCGGAACCGATTGTTTCAGTCTTTCACCCACATCTGGACTATTAAAACTGCTTCGCCTTTTATCACAAGATACCGATTAAGTTACCGATTACCAAGTTATGTCTTCCTGTAAAATCTCACTTTAGAAAATTGCTTGATAAAGGTTAAGTGGGTTGAAACTCCGTAGAGTCCATTCTGAAAAAATGCACTATTTTAGGAGAGGTAATTCCTAAAGTTGACATTGCCATTGCTAAACTCAAAGGTAAACTGGAATGTGCAGCTGAAAAACGAGTAGATTTCTACTGTCTTTCAAGTTGTCAGTAACTTCGTCGTATGCACAATCAATTGGCTATATCACTCAGATGGAGACAATAACGGTAAATTATAAGGACACGAAACGAAGGAGAGGATATCCATGACAAAACAACTTTCGTTGCAGCTGGAGCGAAAAGGCAAACTAAATGCGTTGGGGTTATTCCTACCTTAGCCAAGAACGCAATATCTGTTTCCCTGGGATCAGCATCACTTTGAGATTACGCTACAAATTTGAAGTTGAATCTCCTAGTTTCTGCTGAAACTCAGGCCGACTAAGATACGAAATATTTATTCTCTAGCTCTGTCGCAAAATATTCCTTGATAGATATCACTTTAAAATTATTTCTACCTAGTATTTTACATGCGCTGTTTCCACACTTTAAACAATTTGTACAAAGATAATTTCAATAACGAACGCTCGTCATAAAATACGCTCTAGTTTCCACGGAGATGAATGGATAAAAGACGATTTGAGTCAAAATACGAAGTGCAATCCAATACTGCTTGGCAGCGAGAAGAAATCATTGGATATTGATACCAAATCAAGGAAACAAATCGCACAAGTATCACAAGATATTAATAATCACTTAATATTTATCTCTGTCTTACTCCATCACACTAAAAAGATTGGTTTCATTTGCTGGACCCCATTTCAAACAATACCAAGAGAGCTTTGAGCTTTATAAGAAAGGAAAAAACAATTTAGTATTTTTTCCTCCTTGCTGGGCTTGTTTCCCTGATTTGGCACGCACGGCTAGGAAGAGTTTTCTTCAACGGTGTTCACTGTCATTCTTAAATTGATCGGTAGAAAGCCTTCCTCTACTGTGCTTCTACCACCTCGAGAACATACGTCTCGCTGCCGACTGTAAATGAAAACTTGGAGCATTACCCGTATTTTATCCCCTATTAAATAACATTGGTAAACTTGTTTCTTATCAAAAATATATATAGTAACTTGAAGACAAAACAGTAAATTCCACGTCATGCCCGAGCACAAAAGCTCTGCACAAGAGATAGTTCTGGTCTAATCCCCTGTTGCCTGACGTAATTGTCATCATGAAAAGCATGTTCCCAGGAATCTAGTGCCACCATCTTCCAACGCTCTTTCATTCATTGTCAAACTGGAGGTCCATTTACTCCAGGATGCAAAAAGTGACACGTGTTTCCTCTAAGGCAGCCTCGTTTCGACACAAAATGTCGACAGACAGGAGGCGTTCCTCTGCCTCGTCCCCTTCCACGTGCACGACCACGCGGCATCCCTCGACCCCTACCACGCATGCTCATGTCTCCTGGTTCGCCTTCTTCGTCTTCGTCACCATACTCCCCTCCATCGTCGAACTGGTCCGAGTGGAAGTCGTCTCGTTGGGCCTGGGAAAAGATAACATAAGATCAATTATTAAAAACTGGATCATTGGATAATGCAATTCAAGACTTTTTAGTGGCTTAGCCATTATGGTATATGAGCCAATATATCATAATCGACAAATATGGTAAGCGCACGGTCAGCTTAAAATTAAATGGGAGCTAAAAAATTGAATAAAATTGAAGAATTTAATTCAACGTTTTTAATAAAACAATTATTCCACTCGCGTTTGTTGGATATGAGATGATTATAGCCAACGAGGCGCGTAGCGCCTCGTTGGCTATCTATCATCTCATATCCAACGCGCGCTCGTGGAATAATTGTTAATTAGCTGTCTTGTCTTCCCGTTCATTTCCTCCTTTAGTGCGAAACACGAAGTTTACAAGAGGAAAAGCATTCGAGAAGGTTAGAGGACTGTAATTAGCATAGTGACTGATCTCCAAGCCCGACAGAACATCATGCAAAGAACACCGAAGTAATCCCGAACAGACAAACTATTTGCTGATTGTCAATTGATTGGTTGAGCACTGTTAAGATCATTCTGCAGGATTGGAGTTGATTAAAACTTCCAAAGAGTTAGTTGTGGTGCGTCGCAGGGCAAGTGTAACTTCTACAATAGATCGTTATCAAATTGAAGATGTAAGCATAAATCAACCACCCGAACGCATTTCAGAAGTTTTCTTTACGAAGAATTGTTGAGTAATAAGAGTATTGAATTCTTTACCGCGGTACACCAGGAACTATAATCAGACGCTCTACATGTTTTTATGAGAAACACAATGTCCGTAAAAAAAGTTAATAACTTACCATCTCTGGTAAAAGAGGCCGAGGACCTGTTGGCATGGCTCTTCCTATACCTGGTCCGCCCTGCATTCGCATTGGCATGTGTCCCCTCATGCGAGGACCCATCATGGGGCCCTCTGGATTGGGAAACAGCGGCCCAATTGGGGGTCCTTGTCTGGGGCCTCCTGGGCCTTGAAAATGCGGGGGCATATCAGGTCTTAAATGTGGGCCTTGTACACCTCTAGGACCCATGGGACCGGATGGTCTAAAGACATTCAGACTCCCCATTGGATCACCTGGTGCTGTGACAAGAGAAAATAAAGGGACTGTCACATGACATCTACCATTTAGAAATCCTGGCAGCACTTAAAACTAATTGAAGTTGTACACTGACTGACGAAGTACATTTTGTCAAAATACCCCCTTTTGCTCGTGTAAATAAGCGATTTCTATGATGCGCAAAGCCCCTGTTTTAGCACGAGGGTTCAGTATAAGGCATTTCATACCAAAATGAATATTTATTCTCGTACTAAGCCCCGGTCTGAAAGTGAGGGTTTATAAACTCGGAAATTACCTATTGTAACAACAATTTTGAGTTGTTCAAGGCCGTCAAGAATACAGAATATGGACCAATCAGTAGCTTCGCAGCCTTTACTCTTATCTCAAGAGGAAAGTAATCACAGAATTTCACGGGTAACCCTACAAGGTAAGTGAATCATGAGAAAAACATTACGAACTACTTTGACTTGAGGGTGGTTGCAAGAGTTTATTTATTTGGAAAGTCGAATAGAATTGTTGCACTGAGTTGAACACGCATTTTACAGAACACAATAAATGACGAACTTTCCTTCCATCAAGTTTACCAATGATATTTTCTTTATGAAAATAGGGATCGCGTTTTGCATTCAACAAAGTCTCAAACAACTTACAGAGACTGACGCACATCACCTGTCCACTATACAAAAACTATTTTATATAATTATAATGCTTGGCCTTACCAGCACCCAGCAATCCAGCCCCTGGACCCATGCTAGGCATGGGTCCTGGTCCGTGACCTTGTCCGGGTCCTTGTACGCGTGGAGGACCCATTTTGTTTTGCTGAAGAGGTTCCAGGATATGTTGGAGGGCTGGAGGCAAGGAAGAACTCCCCGGCTCATTTTGAGAGAGAGACTGAGAACCAGGTGCCATGTTGGGCGAGTTAGACTGTGGGGTGGGCTTCTAAAACAGATATGCCAAGAGTTTGTCAACAGGTGTATCTCATTTATGTCTCCAAATATCAGACAAATAATTTGAAATTCAGCCTGTACTACCAAGTTCAAACAGAAAAGCAAGAAAGAATGATGATTTCAAAGAATGATAGACGATAACGGACCTGAGATGATAAGTAAATGTTCTGGGAAACTTCTGAATGACTTACAGTCCTCTCAAGAACATTTACAAATCATGCAGTTACCTATCAACTAATTCGTGTTTTTATCCAATTTTTTTTTTTTTATGGATTAAACTAATTCATTCAAACATCTTATCTTTCTTCACCCCAGACTACGTTCCAAATTTATTTTTTCAAAATTCCTTAAAATCCACTCGAATTTTTTTGCAAAAGCACTCCAGCTGGTGAAAATAAGAAATATGAGTAACGCCAAAAGTTCTTTGTGGGGAAAATGAACGCATTATCGCACATAAATTTTCATAAAAGTGAGTTAACTCATTGTAACAATTGAACATTGGAAGACGTGCAATGACAGTGCTGTTGATTACCATTATTTTATCAAGTAGTGCTTGAACTGTATTATAAGGTCCCCTGTCACCACTTCCCTGAGATACTGATCCCGCTGAAATAAAAAAACAAGGATTGGTAACTTGTTAGGAAAAATGTACAGACTCACTTTGGTCAAACACAAAACAAGGATCAGTCACTAGCTATGGAAAAGAAGGAGATTCCTCAACAAACCTGCAGTTGAGGACGCTGATGACAACAATGACATCAGTGCTGGTGGAAGCTGTACACTGCTGTTGTTGTTAGAAGATACAACTGGAGCTTTGGCAGGCACATGAGTGGTCCCCTTCTGAAGGGAAGAATACATACACAGTAACAGTTGGAAAGTCATTCAATCACAAAATCAGTATTTTTTAATAAATCAAAAACTTGGTTGGTCAGTAGGAGAGTTAGTTGTGCTGAATATTAATGCCATCTATCTTTTGTTTGAGCTGCCATATATATGTATATGTACCTCATCATGTGGTATAACCCTAGGTTCTTCAGAACTTCCTTTTTGGTTATCTGGTTCAGGTTCTGCAGGGCTGTCAGGCAAACTAAATAAAAAAGGAACACAACACATTTTGATCAGAAATTTAAATCAAAGTACAAAGCACCTGGGTTACCACACATGGGGTTAGGAAATAGAACCTGACAACACTGGCTATACAGTTATTCTAAACTGCCAATCTTATTCTACCAATGACAGTACTGGTTCTAGCAAGATCAGAAACAACACAGAGCACTTCCTCACATCAAACTAAATCTAAAACAGAAATACTACTTGCAATGGTATAAAGATCCTTATTCTAATATTCAAGTTAAGTTAACATATAGATTCCATGTTGCCATGTATATGTTCAGATAACCTCAAAAAGTGGTTGGAAAAAAAAGCCACCAGGTGCAGCTGAGTGGGTCAGTGATGTTCTTACCATGCCCCAAAAGAGAAGTGGTAAAGCACAAAATCAGGCCATATACCATATTCAGACTTTACCTTGACTTCGTTAAAAATATATCTGCCAGTATACTAGCTTCTCTGGTTTTCTGTGAGACAAAGAATCACATAATTATGAAGTTGTTATTTATAACCAATAATGGTTTAAGGAATAAATGTAGCAAAATAAATTGAACATTGTTACAAAATTTGCAATGTTAATACTGTACACCTGTGCATGGTTTAAAATGATGAGTGTCAAGTAATTGGTATTCCATGTAAAACTTAGGGAAATATAGAAGAAAAAATCCTCATGAATGCTTCTTTTTGATTCCCCATCTGTGCTTTTTAATAACCAGTCGCTAGACATTTTAATTTACCTAATCATTCTAGGCAACATATGGCAATCTGCGGTCTTTCCTTGCACTTAGGTGGCACTGAAAGCCGTAAAAATCTTGAACAAAAGCTCATCTTTCAAACCGGCAGTCTAAATCCCACAGGGATCAACGAACGCTTTTCATTCCACTAATTTATTCATGTTTTTCTCGTTGCCATGCACCCACCAATAACGTAGCTCCATTTTCTGCCTTTAAAAGCACACACAACCCACAATTCCTCTATTCGCTCCGACGAAGGGCTAACGCTCGAAACGTCAGCTTTTGTAATCATTACGGTGGCCAATTTACCATTTCAACTTTGTTGATATATCCAAATTATTTCGTTACTCCCACCGACGCAGCCCCAAACAGTTTCTTTCGAAACTATCAGCCTTTATTCATATATAA